CCCCCAGGGACCTACTTTGTCCAATCAGATACCAGCTACTAACAGCACATTTAATTACGTAAGTCGTCACTAGGCCAGTCTCACCTATGAGCGCATGAGGCTGGGACAGGAGGATCCCAAGTTTGACCCTAATTTGAGTAGCTTAGTGGGACTTTCTCAAAATAAAATAGAAAAAAGGACTGACAAGTCAGCTCAGTGGTAGAGCACTTGCCTATCATGTGTAAGGCCTTGGACCCTTTCCCAGTTACCCTCTCCCATAAAAAAAAAAAAAAAAAAAAAAAAAAAGGTCTGGTTTGATGGCGCTATTGATTTGAGTGAAGAAGAATTCATTAAGGGAGAAATGCAGTAACAGGTTGGATGTACAAAGATCTGGAACCAATTTTCCTGAAGACAACTCATCCAGGTTAAAAGAATGGGATTAGGCAGAATTTACATTCGGCCTTTGGATGTCAGACTGCATACTTTGTACTTAATTTGATATTCACTGAGTTATAGTGAGTGCTTATTCAGGCAAGTGCTTATTCATCTGACCAATCTCTCCAGCCCCTCACTGAGTAGTTTTTGTCACAGCAGTTATGTCATCGATGGTATGTTTTAGAAGCATGAATCTGACTGAAATGCGTAGGATTAATCCCAGGTTAGGGGTCACTGTGCGGAGTAGCCTTTGCCCCTCCAACCCGAGGAGGAGGGTCCTCAGTTGCATGGTCTCTGTGATGCACTGAATTTCTGCTGCTCTTTATTCAAAAGCTGGCAGTACTGACACTTGAGGCAGCTCTGTTTTTATAATAAGGGGATATGCTGTATATTGCCAGTGGCTCCTGTCCCCTAAAAGCCAGTCCTAGTCCTTTCCCTGCAGTTATAGCGAGCTTATCTCTAGATGTTGCCAGGTGTCCCATGAGAAGCGACATACCCTCATTTCAGAAAAAATTAGTTGGAAGAGGTCAACTAGCCTATCTACTAGCTGGTGCTTAAATGCAGTACACAGGAAGGACTCTACTGGGCTATACAGTTCGTGCACTAGGCAGAGGGGTTTACGCGGCCTCTGTGCTGTTGCCTGCTTTGCAAAGTTTGCAGTCGCAGGCAGATCTCACAAGAAGCAGAAGGAGGTGAAGAATAGCTGTTGCCAGGACGCTGGGTGGCCCTTAGCTCTTCCTGTCCTTCCTGATTGTCCTTCAGTAGCCCCTTCACTCTTACGCATTACTAGATCGGCCCCTGGAGAGCAACCACAGGTACTGGTTACAAAAGCACAGAGACTGACCAGTTCACTCAAAATTGCTCATTAAATTGCTGCTGTGCACTAAGGATTGGGTGCGTAGTAATGGCACCCAATTTCCATGTGAATGCAACTTTCATTCTAGTAGATTACCAGATGGAGACTTTTTGTATTTCTGTGGGCTTGGAGCTGTGACCTTACTATATGATTACCACGGAAGGATGCGATGTGGAAGTGAGTTATCTTTCTGCGAAATGGGAGAAAGAAAACAATGGGTATCTTATTCCAAATGACGAAGCATAGTGTCAAGACTCTAAACCAATTTATTTTCCACCTGAGATTTTAAGTTTTTCTCTACTGAGTTTGACAAAGTACCCTAGGATGAAACTATGGAATGCCATTCGTCATTCTGCAGCCTGAAACCCTCAAACAGTGGCCCCCCCCCCCATGGTGACTTCTATTATTGTTTTGCATAGTTTTAAGCAATATAAGACCCTGACATTCATGGTAGTGACATGTAACGCATGGCAAAGTAGTTGTCTTCAGGTGACAGTATCAATTTTGTGTTTGCTTCTCTCTTGCTGAAGGCTTTGCGCCTATTCTCTTTGGACACATTGTTTTTTAATATGTGGAAAAAGAGGAAGTATTTTCATCTGGATGAAATGTGAATGTGATTTTCTTTCTTTTAGCTTTGTGCCAATGTGTTTTTTTAGTACAATAATTCTTTTAAGAAATACACCGTCATTATACACAATATTTCAATCATACATCATACTTCTTGGATATTTGAAAATTAACCTCCATCACCGAGATTTTCTTTTAACACAGGGAGGAAGGCTCCTAAAGCAGCATGGTCTGCTGATACGTGATATTGCCTGAATTTTACATTATACTTGTCTGAAGTATAGCTAAATTTTTTTTAATCTGAATTAGAAAATATATCAAAGGTGAAAGTCAAAATGACATAGATGAAAAACTTACATGGCTATCTATAACAATTGTATACTTACATTTGGGTGGCTTATGTTTGTCTTTTACTAGGTTATTTTTCACTAATGAAAGCTTGTATACCAATACTATTATAGGCTACTGGACTCTTTTAGATTATTTTGCTGAGTTAACACACCTATAATATTCAAATAATGGAACTTAACAAAAAAAGGGTATATAGATGAATGTCCATTTTGCATCCGTGTATTCAAAGTGGTTAGGATAGATATATAGTTGCATTCTCTTAATGAATAGAGGGATTTGTTCTAATGGTGTTTGTAGATATGATATCATGTCCGCATCTTGTACAGCAATTAACCACTGGGAGGAATGTATGCAATGTGTTAATTGTTATTATTTTTTTTAAATGTTCTTTTTTTTTTTTAAAAAATACTTATCTATTTATTTATTTATGTGTGTGTGTGTGTGTGTGTGGCCAGCTCAGCCCACCAGGGGGCAGGGTGGGCTGGCATGTGGTGCTGGGGGATTGAACCACGGTCCCTGTGCTTTGCCTAGTTTAGCTTGTTCTAAGTAGAT